CTGAAGATAGTTTTCACTTTGGCAGTGTAGATCCTCAGGGCCATGTCCACTTTTCTGTTTGAGGATGTCACTCTGGAATGGCATCCTTTTTCTCACCCCTAGTTGCTCTCATTAAACACTAAGAAAAAGGTGTAATGCAAGTAATGGACTTTTCTATTCCCACTGCACAATGGGTCAGTGGCATTTCTGAGAGGGAATGCCCAGTTTAGGGGGAAGGATAAAGAATACCCCTCTGTTGGCTCAGTTTTCTTATACTGCAAGTGAGGGGAACAAAGGTGCATGAAAAATTAATCCAACAAGTGATTTTACTGATCATTATGTAGCTCCAAAATTCTCTATATTATTCCGTGCAGAGGGCCTTAAAGATAAATTCCAAAACTTCAAGTAATGGTTTGAAGACATATTTGTCAAAACATCTTAAAATGTTATACCTGAGTAAGATAAACCATATCATATATGGTCAGATGGAATTATAGGAAATAAACCAGCACCATTATAGGAAATAAACCATAAAGTAAAATCTACAAAAATTTTTAAAATATGTTAGGTAAGATTTGAATCATCTGAGAGCCTGAATTTCATACTTTTGGTCTAGAGAGAAGTAGATTTCAGTGAGTTCATCTGTATTATTTTGGAGACCTGAATGTTACTGCTGTCATTTCAAACCACCAGAAGATACTAAGGATAACTAAATTATTCATGGTAAATATTATAGATCATGCAAATGCATTCCTCTTCCTGGTTTTGTGTTTGTTTGGGTTTTTTTGCTTTGAGGTTTTGGGGATTTTTTTTCATTTTCAAACAGATCTCTAAGTGTTGTAAGTGTACTCAATATTCATCCATAATACGCAAGCAAAGAACACTATAAATGTCTGTTCATGGAATCTTCAATGTCTACAAAGTCCCATGAGATTGTTTCTAGGCCCAAACTTCAGGCCCATGACCACATGCCAAAGATAAAATGATGAGAATTACAATAATGGGGGAAAATTTCTTCATCACCAAAAAGCCTTTGGTCAATGTAATGATGATTTTTTTTCAAGACAATGTTTTGATTGGACATGGTGAATATTTAGGGACTATTCAAACACTGGAAATATATTTAAATTGGAGTAAATCCACTGATTCATTTCCAAAATATTGTTGAAAGGAAAAATCAATTTTGTTAGGCAAAAAATAAATCAAGGGCAACCAGAAAACCTGAGGCCATAGGAATTCTGAGTTAAATTTAAAAAAAGGATATTTACTCATATGACTGCCATTTTTTTTTGCATATCATGGCCTGAAACTAAGGCTATGGTCCTATATTTGACTCTGTTTTGCCATCAACCTCCACTTTTTGTGAGGGAGCAGGGTTTGCAGAATCTCCTAGTTGCCAATTCTCATTACATTGCATGAATCTTGTTGTATTTGACAGTTTTCATAAAGCCCAAGTTCCAGGAGACTGAAAAATCTCCTGAGAACCCCGGCTTTTGATTACAAGGAGAAAAACAATGCTGTAGTCCTCATGACTGTAGAAACAAGAGAAAAAATTATCTTTACTCTGCTTCCAATATGCTAAAAGCTCATTAACCCAGAGGCAAAATCAAACATCTCTTAGAACTCACTATGTTTGATTTTTTTCTTCCTAAGCAGGAAGAAGAGGAAGTCAGAGAGTGATCTGACATTTTTAAAACCCGGTAAAAACAATACTGGAATTCAGGTCATTAACTTCAGCTGAAAACAGAGAGAAAAATGGGCTCTTTCTTGTCATTAAGTCATGGAATTTTGAGACAGGTGTATGGTAAAGCACAGGATTTTACAAAAGAAATCACCATATCACAGGGACAGTAGCAAATGAATCTGCCAGACAGCATACAAATAATGGATAAACCTTATCTGTAACTCCCTTTCTCTGAATTAACAAAATAGCCCATTTTATTAGAATCCCATTGCCTTGCCTGTTGAATTGAAAATGCACAAAGCTGGTGCATCAGATGATCTCACGGAAGACCAAGCCTGACATAGGTTGCTTTGCATTGTCATCCTACTGTATATCAACGAATAAGCATGAGCTGCATTTTTTAGTTCTTCACATCCCTTTTGGTATCAGCCCAGTGGAACAATTGCACTGAACACTGTATTATATGCTCATTGTGTTTTATATGATGATTGGAGTAGCGCACAGTTCCTTATTGATAAAATTCTGCTGTGCAGCAGATGTATGTGGTAGCCATATATGATCACAATAGACAATAGGAACTGCTCATTTCTACACTGTTTCTAGGGAAGTAAAGGGTTACTAGGGGAAGTGGTGTTTTGTCACACATTCAACATTGCACGAAAATAGCCTAGAAGACTCAAATGCTTGCATTAAAGTCTCCACATTTCTGTAATTAATACCACAATGAGCTATTTTGGATATGGTTAGCATATGCTTTCTGTCCAATATATGTATAGTTAATCATACGTGGGGAGGTGCAAGAAAGAGAGAGAAAATGTTCCCTTAAATACTGAGAAAAGAAGAATTTGGCTCAGTGCTGGAGGGCAGAGCTACTCACAACATCGTCTTGGCGGAGCTGCCTCTATGCTGGGGGTGGGGAGGCAACAACACCAGACACCGTAAGTCTCGTACAGCTGGTATAGTGTGCCTGCACAGCGTTAGAGATCAAAAATCATATGTGTCTTTCTGTTTCTGATGACCCTTCTTCATAACCAGGTTTTGGGCTAGGCAGTTTGTGGCCAATGAAAGTTTCTAGACTGACAGATGAAGAGATCGATCTCCTTTAATAGCCACAGCCAATGACCAGTGCAGACACAGTCCTGAGTATTACAATTGATCCATCCGAGCCTCCATGTTTCATGCCACAAATTGCATTGCTGTGAAGTGGGTGTCAGATGTGACCTCCTCTATAATGCCTATGCAAAGTATGGCAAAGACCTGCCACAATTTTCTTTGAATGTATAAAAAGAGCTGAGCAAGGAGCAAAGCATCTATTGGATGATAGAGTCCAATAATTCCTGAATTTCACTTGGAAGGTTTAATTTCCAGTTGATTTTGTATTATATTCAGTCCTTGATGCCAGAAACAGAGCTTCTATAACAGAAGTAGTAGCTTATTGCCCTATGTCCTGCGAAACAGATCTGAAATCTCACCACCTCACGCTGCAGATTGTGGTACCGTTTGGCCAGCACTGATCAGTTTGGACTTGCAGTTCTTAAGTCAGAGGCATCATATCACATTAGTTTTGCTGAACTATGCTGTATTACAGCATGCACTTGCATTGACTTATGCAGAGCTGTGTAGACCTCATGCTTTGCCTCCCTCAGAAATATACTGGTATTTTTCCCATGGATAAAATCACAGTAAGCAAGCGCTCACTTCCACTCATTTGCGCACGTGCAGTTCAGACTGTATGCTTCTGAACTAGTCATGTCACATCCTATGTTAGCTGATTAAGATCAGTAGCTGGGAGTTGATTAATTGACTTTTCAGAAGCTCAGCTGTAAGTTTCCTGTGTCTTTCCCATTATACATGGGGAATAAAATGAAACCTTAAAAAAGTGCAAGAAATGGTTTGTTTCATTCCTGAACTCACCACCTTAAATTACTGCAGGGGTCCTTACGCCACCAGGACTTCCCAAATCTTCCCACGAACTGCATCAAAAAATCTCAGGTGTGAACCAAGATTCTCATCAAAGACACAATTCATCAAGTTTCCCACTGGCAGGAGGCTGGGGACTGTGCCTGCAAGCACATGGCATCCCCCCCAGCTTCCACCTTCTCCAGAAGCACAGACATCCACCAAAGCTTCAAGGAGAGGATCCCCACTGTTCTCAGTGGTGTAAAACTAAGGAGTTTGTTGCTGCAGTCAGATGCTGCTAGGGAGCAGGATGAAACCCCAAATCTACATGACCCTGCCAAGTCAGCAGCCTGAGCAAAACCCAAGCTTCCCCGGAGGGACTAATTTTGCTTTATAGGAACTGGCTGAAATTAATGCAGCCTGAAGTCCTTAAGATAAAACTAAGGCACTGCAGAAGCATGCTCACCACCCTCCTACAGGTTATCTGACAGCATTTTTTTCCCCCGAATGTTCATTAGTCACTTCACTCTGATGAAATTCATGACTACTAAAGTCAACTCCTACTGATCTCCCCGGATAATAGGTTTTAAGCACTGTTATTTAAAGAAAAATAACCAAAAACTGTCCCAGGCCTGAAAGAATTGCCATAAATCAGCAATGTGGTGTGACAATGTGAATACCAGATTTATTATTATCTTTATTTTTTAAGTTACCACGATGTTTTTGTCCCCAAATGGTTAAGTTTTGAATTATTAAAAAAATTGTACCTTTTTATTGATACTAGTTCTTAGGATC